CAGTTCCCTCTCCTAAGCCGACACTACCGAACTAACCACTTCGCTAGCTCCCCCCACGACAAACACAATGGAGTAGCCATCATCATTCGTAAATCATGCCCTCTCTCGATCCAACGAACTATAGCCGACCCGCAAGGCCGATACCTCACTGTAACAGGCAAAATAGGCACGCACCTCTACGCATTCACGTCAATATATGCTCCGAACACCCCCTCCAAAGCATTCTGGCATACGATACAAGCCCACCTAGCCCTCTTCCCCTCCCACCATTCCATACTGGGCGGGGATTTCAATGCCACACCCTCGCCAATGGTAGACAGGCGCCGCACACAATCACGAACGCACCACCAACAACCAACAGCCAAAGCAGACAAAATGCTCTCTGCCTTCATCTCAAAAACTCGCTTGATCGACGCATGGAGAGCCCATCACCCCTCATCCCTAGACTACACGTTCTTCTCGCACCCTCACCAATCCCACTCCCGCATAGACCTGTTCCTCATTTCCCCGGCACTGGCACCCATGGTAAACAACACGAACATAGGCTCCATCACGTGGTCCGACCACGCAGATATTACCCTGACACTTAACCTACCATGCACGACAAGACCCTGGTCTTGGCGACTAAACCCCACATTACTACATAACCCAACAATCCGACAAAATGTGGCCCAAGCTATCACAGAATACTTCACACTAAACAAGGACTCAGCAACTTCCGAAGGGTCTCTATGGGCAGCACACAAAGCAGTAATCCGGGGAGTCATGATAAATCAAGCGTCCATACACAAAAGAAAACAGGTAGCCCACCTAGAACAGACACTAATGACCCTTAGGACCCTAGAGGCCCAACATAAACTTAACCCAATGCCAGAAACAAACGGAAAAATTGCAGAATGCCAAACAAAAATTAAAAAATACATGGCGAAAGATTCAACCAAAGCACTACTGTGGTCAAAACAACTATTTTATGACAAAGCAAACAAAGCAGACACACTACTCGCAAGGAAACTCAAGCAGAGAACAGAACATAAACAGATCACCAAAATTAACACACCAGAAGGGACTCTCACAGAAAAACCGAGCGAGATAGCCGGCGTCTTTCAGAAATACTTTGAAGCCCTGTACGACCACTCACCTACAACCCGACAAAACCCAACACACACCAACACACTTATTAACCAATACCTACAACAGGTACCACTACCTTCCCTCCCAACAGAAGCAGAGGTAGCACTAGCCAGCCCCATCACGCCAGAAGAACTCGCAGGAGCGATCAAAACACTGAAACCCAATAAAAGCCCGGGCCCGGATGGGTTCACAGGACTCTACTACAAAACTTACGCTTCCACCCTGATCCCCCACCTCTGCAACCTCTACAACGCGATCCTGGCAGGCGACCGACTACCACCAGACATGCTACAGGCCAATGTATGCCTCCACCCCAAACCCAACAAAACCCTCCTAGACCCGGGACACTACCGACCAATCTCACTCCTCAACGTCGACATTAAACTACTCACCAAACTCCTAGCAGACCGCCTCAACCCATATCTAACCCGACTAATCCACCCAGACCAGGTGGGTTTCATACCCACGAGACAGGCCAGCGACAACACTAGACGGACATACGACCTCATCTGGACAGCTCACACAAGACAAATCCCGACCTTAATACTTTCGCTTGACGCAGAAAAAGCCTTCGACAGACTACTTTGGCCCTTCCTATTCGCAACCCTCGAAAAACTCAGATTCCCACAAGAATTTAGGAACGCGCTGACAGTACTATACGCCACACCTCAAGCACACTTACTCCTCCCGCACACACAACCCCCCTCCTTCACGATTTACAACGGCACGCGTCAGGGATGCCCACTATCCCCAGTCCTATTTGCACTCTCCCTTGAACCGCTCCTACAGAGCCTCAGGCTCAACACCGACATAACCGGCCTCAGAATACGAGAAGAAGAATATAAAACGGCAGCATATGCAGACGACCTACTCATCACAATCACGGAACCCATAACCTCCTTACCACCACTTCTGCACGCCCTAGAAGCATATCAGGGTACAAACTAAACATAGATAAAACAGAAGCCCTCTCAATACACTTAGACCCTTCCACAACAGCAGCCATCCAAGAAAAATACCCCTTCAGACTAAAGACCACCCACATACAATACCTAGGGATCGCTATCCCGGCAGACCTACCCCAATGCTATGCTCTGAACTATACACCCACGATACAGAAAATAACCCACGACATCTCTACCTGGCAAAACATGCCGATCTCGTGGCTGGGTAGACTAGCGTCAGTCAAGATGAACGTGCTCCCTAGGCTTCTATACCTATTCCAAACCCTACCGATACCAATCCGGAGAAGCGACTTCAAACCACTGCAAACAACCATCGACAAATTTATATGGGCCAACAGACGCGCCAGAATAAAACGCCAAACCCTATATGTACCCAATAGAGCCGGGGGCCTGGGCTTACCCCACCTTAATCATTACTACCAGGCAGCCCAATTAACGCAGGCCCAAAACTGGCACGCCCCATACGGAGTTAAACGTTGGGTAGATCTCGAACACGACATCTTCGGCAGAGACTTCCCCTCACTATACATCTGGCTATAGAAATCAGCGAGGCCCCCGCTGCCCCGCACATCACCGGCGATACTCAACACCATAAACATATGGGACAAAACAACCCAGAAGAGCGGCCTCACAACCCAACACTCACCATTAACCCCGCTACTTCGCAACACCCACTTCCCACCGGGAATGACACCCAAAGACTTCGCCCGCTTTGAGGCAAACGATCTCACTCGACTGTTCCACTACTACAAAAACCAACAACCAATACCTTTCCCAGAGCTCCCACATACAACACCATACCGTACATTTGACATGTTCCGCCACATCCAAATCAAAAGCTTCCTAGACATGCCAATAACCAAACAAGCAGGAACCAAAGAGCTCACATCCTTCGAAAAACAATGCATGCAATCCCCGACACAAAAAGGCCAAATATCCGCACTCTACACACACCTAATCCGAAATGTTAAAGACGGGGCCCTTACATATGTGTCGGCTTGGGAGAGGGATCTAGGCCCGGCAGAAGACCCAACTGATTGGGCCAGGATCTGGGAGGCCACAGCATCTATATCAATCTGCATCAACCACAAAGAACAGGCGTACAAGACGCTTATGAGATGGTATCTTACCCCCCTCAGGCTCAAACAGATGGGCAGGTCAGGCACGGACACATGCTGGAAAGGTTGCGGACAGAAGGGCACATACCTCCACATGTGGTGGGAATGCACACCCACCGCACAACTTTGGCAACAAATAGCTTCCATGGTATCGAAAATCCTCCACACCGACATACCACTAAACCCCTGGACATGGCTCCTATCCAAACCACTTCCCAACACACCTAGGGCCCAAAACAAACTAATTGCCAAAATAGCACTGGCCACTAGAAGAGCCATCGCCGAAAAATGGGGTAGCCCAGACACCCCGACCGTGGGTACAATAACCCAAAAAATAAAGGAGACAATTAAAATGGAAGAACTGTCTGCACTGGTACATGACTCGACTAAACACTTCCACAAAATCTGGGACCCATGGTTCTACGAAAACCCTCTCTCCACCTGAAACACACACACACCCACACTACAAAAACGCTCCGCAGACACTTAAACCACCAACACCTCCCAGAACCATCAGACACATCCCCTCTAGTACCAGCCACCCACACACACAGAAACATAAAAGAGCCAAGACCACTAAACATATCCCCCAACCACACAAACCGAGAGAACCCCCAGACAGGATACCCCAAAGGGCCAAACAAATCCCCCAAAACCGGATACCCCGAAACAAACACAACAGAACCAAACATACCCGCCAACTAAAAAAAAAAAAGCTGAAACAGCCTAAATACAGCGACCACACATCAAAACCACCATACCAACATTCCCATAAATAAGCGAAACCACAGCACAACCCCAACAAGAGGTACCCAGCGCACCCTTAAATAATAGAAAACATACAGATGGGAAACCATAAAAGTGGGCCACAATAGAAACAACATACGACAACCTAAATACCCATAACATCTCAGACTCACCAACGGTGGCCGACACACGCATCGACTTACCAGATCACCCCTTATAACTGGATCCACACCCAGCCTGAAAAACACAACAGGTGAAGGTAACCCACCCCACACCTCCCCTTCCCCCGGCACCCCTCTTACACCCCCAGACATCACAGTGAACCAGACAACCCGACCAAAAATGAGCATAGACAACACCTGAACTAAGAAACAAAACAAAACAAGTAGGAAAAAGCACCCCCAAACACCTGCCCCCTCTCTCCCACCCAATCGCACAATATGCGCTGACAGCGTACGACGCAACCCACCATGGACACTACACCACGCAAAAGGCTCACACAAACCAACTCATTCCCAAAACCACCCAGACCCACCAACATAAAGAGAACCGGATTGATTTAAAGGAAAAATCGAAACTGTATGTAAATGTACCCCACTCACCTTCCCTCTTCTTTTTTCTGTACCCCACCCAATTCCCAAAGAAAAGTTGAAAGATATGCCACATGATATAGCCTGATCATATGCTACATGAGAATATGATAACTCTGTTAACTATGTATGACAATTGTACCGCCAACTTTTCTTTTCTGTATCCCCACGTTAAATGACAAAAATTTTCAAAATAAAGAATTTATAAAAAAAAAAATGAACATTTTGTTTTATTTTGCATTTTATACAATGTTTTTAATATCTGGTGATAATATCCTAGAGCTTCGTTTCCTCGTTTGCGTTTGCGTCGGTCTCCCCCAGCCCCGCTTTTTATAAATTAGTATATAGGGCGTATCCTGTGGCGAGCCCTGACTGGAATATAACACAGTGCGTTGGGTCGTCACAGTGACGCTGCTGTCATTAAACTGGAGCCATTGCTTTGGTTTCCTCTGGGCTTGGCTTCCATTCACAGAGCTGGGGGCTTCTGGGGCCGGATATGCAGAGCATTTCTCTGACGGGGCACCCCTTGAATCGCTGGAGATGTCCCTGGCGTAGGTATTGTAACGGACCGTTTTGCACAAAAGGGGAAAAAACCGTTTAGACGATAATCCCCCTTTCAGAGACAGGCACAGCTATGGTATAATCACCAAAACTCACGAACCGCCAATAAGTGAATGCTCCAAACTCCCGAACGGCATCCAAGGGAATAAGGTAGCACTTCAAATAAACGAACAGGAACCATACGAATAGCTGCTAGCAGGCGAACAGGAAAAGCTTCCAAGCGGCTTACACTCCTGGCAATCAGTCCTTAGCAGCATACAGTAAATCCCCCCAAAGACGAGACAAGGCTCCGTGTTGAGGGTCAAGCAGTGGTCTGTTTAATGAGGGCTACCTGCCCAGCTTTTATGCAGGTCTCCCACCTGGTGGACACTCCCCTAGGGGACCAAATGGGAGACTGTGACAAGGGACAGACAAGTATACAAAAAGGACACACAGTCACAGTATATTCCCACAATGCATCCTGGCTTCCTCCCCTCTGCCCTGGGAGATAATTGGGAAGTAACTCAATTATCTCCCAAGACAAAGGCAAAACTCCATTACACACGTGGGAACACAAAACCAGCATAATACTTTAAAATGCACAAAGTAACATTTACTACATTAAGCACAGACATGTAACATATCCCCAGATAGCTCAGGTCTGAGTGCACATTATTAGGTGAATGGCACTCAGACCACACAAATACAGTTTAATCGCCATGGAGCCAAAGTCTTTACAGTCAGTTTCATACGAATGAGCTCCATGGGATTCCTATCTGGGGTATAAGACATTCACACAAAAATACCGAACACCGGGTCATTCGTGTGCTTTCACCGAACAAGAAGGGAGGTCGGCGGCTTCAGCGGTGTTCGCGCAAAACTGTGTCCGATTTTAGTTCCATGAAAATAGAGGCGAACACCGCTGTTCATTCGTATGGTTTAAAATGGCCGCGACCTCGTGTTCGGGATACGAACGGCGGCCACCCAGCGTTCATCAATTAAGCTGCGGTTAACCGCAGCTTCAGGGAGGTTAATTGCCGGCACACTCCAGCTCCCAGGTGGTCCAGTCATTCGTACGGTTGTTCGGTAGATTGAAACTACCGAACAACCGGCAGAAAAGCACGAATACAGCTTTTCTGCATGGAAAAATAAAGTCTTTTAAAAGGGGGCCATAGTCCAAAGGCAGCAGGCGAGCAACCAGGATTCTCCAATGCAATGTGGCGAGATTGGTCTCGTCACAGGTATAATAATGGCCACTGTCAGATGTTTTTCCTGAATGGACTACAATGGAATTTAAGACATACGGCACTCGTCGTTGGTTTCGAAGCGGGTTTATCTTTTCAGGTGGTCTTAGCTCATTTGCTCTGTTCCCATCAGCACCAGAAATAACAGTGGCCAGAGGGGTGGGCCTTTCCACAGGCAAAAACATCAGCGGTGGAATGAACACGGGATCCAATACCTTCCGGCTCACCTGGTGATCTGGATCGTAAGAAAACCTCGGTAAGTTCAGAATGAGGTAGTCCGGCTCCTCTCTGATTTGTGTGACCTTCTCTGCTTTCATGCCCCACACTTATAGCTGTTATCTCCATCGAGAATCTCCGGATCCAGGAAATTGCGGAGCAGGTACGTGACAGAAAGTTTCTTGTAGGCTTTTTCTTTGAGGGCTTTACAGGAGGAGACATTGTCACCTAAAAGGCTGGTGTTTGTCTCAAGTGGGGCAGGTTTATCCTTGGATGTTGTAGGAGAACCCAGCGCAAGGTCTATAAAAGTCTCAGTCTTGTGTGAAACGCTCCTGCAGGCCTGGCAGCAGATGTTAATTTGCAGCTTTCCCTGAAACAGGTTTTCTATCAAAGTTTTCCCATTGTTCCCCCAGATTGCGCTCTGTGAATGGCAGTTATCGTCGGGGGCCCTGGGAAGCTAAAGGCTCCTGAGGGACATCATCAGTCACCATAGAGTCAGCATGAGCCTTATATAAGATCTCCTCCTCGTGCAAGCTAACAGAAGAAAAGGAAAACAGGTCATTAATACGAATCATACCTCACACAAAAACACAACTTACTCTCCGTAAAATAATCATTCATCTGCTTCACGCGTTTACAGCCACATGTTTACAGGGTCGTTGACTACTAACGAGCTTTGTCTGAGTTTTAACAATGTGATCGAGCTAATGAACTTAAAATTGGACCCATCGATTGGGAATTAGAGACCAAGAGATCCAAATCTGCTGAGAAAGGCGTCTAAGTTCTAAAGAATAATAATATTCATGAAATCGGCAAACAGGGACAAAATGTGACAAGATTTGGAATGTCTAAATGTCAAAATAAATGTAATAAAGCTGTTTCTCATGTAATACCATGTTTAGGAGAGTGATTACGTTCTGCATTTACTAGTGAGTCTATAATCGGGATAATGAGGGTTTACATGTACCTGTTTAAGAGGAATTTGAGATATTCTGAGCCGTCTTGCTGGGAAAAGGAACTGAACCAAGGTGGACGAGACGCATCAAAGAATTTCCTAGGGTTGTAAGATTGCTGCTGGTTTGAAATAAAGAAATATATCAGTGTCACTTTTTTCAGGGAAAATTTATACAGAACAGAGACGTTGGACTAAACAAAAATGGAATATGGGTTACCATGACAATCATCGCCCACTTTGAGAATTTTCTACTGAAAGGGTTAATCGAATCGACTTCTCTTTAACTCCCTCAGTTCTCGAATCTCCGGTCACCAGATCAATTGACGGTAGTTCTTGTTTAGCAAATAACGACAGGCACGAAAGAGTGCTCTAACAAGATTCTCAGTGAGTGTATTTTCAGGGCTAGCATTTATACACAGTTTGTCACGCAAGCAGTGAGATTTATCTCTTCCTTATAGTTAATAGTACATACCTGTCTGAGATTAAAAAGATAAGCATTTGAATAAAGACGGGACAGGAACATCCTGAGGTCGAGCGAGGTCATACATCCTGTAGAAGGGAGGCCTCTCAAAGCATGTTACAGAATACATCTGCCAAGGTCAGCATAATTATTTCAAACATTATTTTAAAGCATACAATGCAAAAAGAGTTTAACTATTTAATATCCTTACATCTACCAGTTTAAAGTCACAAATGTTTAATAAATATCGTCATCAATATAGGGATATGTGTTTCAGATTGTTTGCCATGTTGCCTATTTGGGTTTGTCTGTGTTCCTTATTATTTTATAGAAGGTGGACGTTTTACGCTGTGCGCTCTACGTTGTGCCTTCGTTATTTGCACAGACAGTTACTAACTCCATTTTAAGCGCCTTATATACCAACCTATTTCTACCAATAGAAACCTACCTTAGAGGCCACCAAGGTGGAGAAAAGATGTTGTAATTTTGTCATCAGCGAGTCGCGACCTTCCAAATTCAGGGATAAGACGCGATTCCTGAACCTGTTATTCAAACAATGGTTTACAGGCCGAGTCTCATGCAGACACAGTAATTAAACCTGCAGACTAACTGTTAGATAAACATACTGTTCCCATACCGCTGTCTGCGCCTGGTCACATACCGCCTGCCATGCATAGTACATTCACTTTTGAGAAAGCTTCGGCGAAACGCGTCAAGTGAGGAAGAATTTTGTACTTTTATACAGGACTGGTTTTATAGTTTATTATTCACTTTTTACTTATTGTATTAAAGTATATATATTTTTTAAACTATCCACTCATTCCTTTTGTCCTCCTTCCTATCCAATACTGCTTTGCTGCTGTACCTGGGTCCACTATATCCCAAGGTGGGGATTATTCCACCTGAAATTCTCCAAACTAGAGCAGGTCGTTGCTCTAGTATATGTAAGTAGGATCATCCACTTTTTTTTTCACAATATTTTATATTTACGTACTATACCATGTGGTGTATTTCACTCTTGTTTTTCATGTAACGAATATTTACACCTATAAATTCACCAACGGTCTTGAACCTCAAGAAATCCATAGACGGGGATTATTCCGTCCAGGCTCTTAACACCGAGCTGATATAGCTCCTCAAAGTGTGAGTGTGAATATAACACCTTTGTTCTTGTGGAATTATATCGTTCATACATACTGTACCATTATTTGTATTTTTGTTTCTCTCTTTTTTTAAGTTACTCTGCTGGCCAGTATTTCTACAAAACGTATGTACATTTTCTGATTTTTAGCGCTGTTCACCTTTCTATTTTATCATGCATAGTACAAGCTGCGCAGGAGCAGGACGCTGTCTGCCATATGTAAAAGAAGTCCTGCTCGGTATGGGATGTAAGATTATAAGGACTGGTTACCCGGGGTAACGCTCTTGCGGCTTGCGAGAGAAGAGGGCTTGCTGCTGCTGGGGATGTAAGATCACTATCAGGGCTACCTCTTCAGTGGACCACCATGGAACCACGTATTCCTCTCCCTGCCCACAGGTAAGAGGCAGGAAGAGGGGAATAAGTAAGTGCGGGAAAAACTGCTCACCCCCACAAATTTACTTATCACCACAAACACACATTGCATCCACAACACACACACTGCATCCACTATACACACACACACTGCATCCACTATACACACACACACTGCATTCACTATGCACACACACACTGCATTCACTATACACACACACACACACACACACTGCATTCACTATGCACACACACACTGCATCCGCTATACACACACACACACTGCATCCACTACACACACACTGCATTCACTATGCACACACACACACACTGCATTCACTATGCACACACACACTGCATCCGCTATACACACACACACACACTGCATCCACTACACACACACTGCATTCACTATGCACACACACACATACACTGCATTCACTATGCACACACACACATACACTGCATTCACTATGCACACACACACTGCATTCACTACACACACACACACACACACTGCATTCACTATTCACACACACACACACACTGCATTCACTGTACACACACACACACACACACTGCATTCACTATGCACACACACACACATTGCATTCACTATGCACACACGTCAGCGGAGCTTATAACAATGATTGACAGAGAGCTAAGATGGAGGTGGCTCTCTCTATACTGACTGCCAGGTGTAAAGGGTGGAGCTTATAACAATGATTGACAGGGAGCTAAGATGGTTTTAGCTCTCTCTATACTGACTGCCAGGTGTAAAGGGCGGAGCTTATAACAATGACTGACAGGGAGCTAAGATGGAGGCGGCTCTCTCTATACTGACTGACAGGTGTAATGGGCGGAGCTTATAACAATGATTGACAGGGAGCTAAGATGGAGGCGGCTCTCTCTGTACTGACTGCCAGGTGTAAAGGGTGGAGCTTATAACAATGATTGACAGGGAGCTAAGATGGTTTTAGCTCTCTCTATACTGACTGCCAGGTGTAAAGGGCGGAGCTTATAACAATGATTGACAGGGAGCTAAGATGGAGGCTGCTCTCTCTATACTGACTGACAGGTGTAATGGGCGGAGCTTATAACAATGATTGACAGGGAGCTAAGATGGAGGCGGCTCTCTCTATACTGACTGACAGGTGTAATGGGTGGAGCTTATAACAATGATTGACAGGGAGCTAAGATGGAGGCGGCTCTCTCTATACTGACTGACAGGTGTAATGGGCGGAGCTTATAACAATGATTGACAGGGAGCTAAGATGGAGGCGGCTCTCTCTATACTGACTGCCAGGTGTAATGGGCGGAGCTTATAACAATGATTGACAGGGAGCTAAGATGGAGGCGGCTCTCTCTATACTGACTGCCAGGTGTAATGGGTGGAGCTTATAACAATGATTGACAGGGAGCTAAGATGGAGGCGGCTATCTCTATACTGACTGCCAGGTGTAAAGGGCGGAGCTTATAACAATGATTGACAGGGAGCTAAGATGGAGGCGGCTCTCTCTATACTGACTGCCAGGTGTAAAGGGCGGAGCTTATAACAATGATTGACAGGGAGCTAAGATGGAGGTGGCTCTCTCTATACTGACTGCCAGGTGTAATGGGCGGAGCTTATAGCAATGATTGACAGGGAGCTAAGATGGAGATGGCTCTCTCTATACTGACTGCCAGGTGTAAAGGGCGGAGCTTATAACAATGATTGACAGGGAGCTAAGATGGTTTTAGCTCTCTCTATACTAAGTGCCAGGTGTAAAGGGCGGAGCTTATAACAATGATTGACAGGGAGCTAAGATGGAGGCGGCTCTCTCTATACTGACTGCCAGGTGTAAAGGGCGGAGCTTATAACAATGATTGACAGGGAGCTAAGATGGAGGCGGCTCTCTCTATACTGACTGCCAGGTGTAAAGGGCGGAGCTTATAACAATGATTGACAGGGAGCTAAGATGGAGGCGGCTCTCTATACTGACTGCCAGGTGTAAAGGGCGGAGCTTATAACAATGATTGACAGGGAGCTAAGATGGAGGTGGCTCTCTCTATACTGACTGCCAGGTGTAAAGGGCGGAGCTTATAACAATGATTGACAGGGAGCTAAGATGGAGGCGGCTCTCTCTATACTGACTGCCAGGTGTAAAGGGCGGAGCTTATAACAATGATTGACAGGGAGCTAAGATGGAGGTGGCTCTCTCTATACTGACTGCCAGGTGTAAAGGGCGGAGCTTATAACAATGATTGACAGGGAGCTAAGATGGAGGCGGCTCTCTCTATACTGACTGCCAGGTGTAAAGGGCGGAGTAACAATGACTGACAGGAGCTAAGATGGAGGAGCTTATAACAATGACTGACAGGGAGCTAAGATGGAGGTGGCTCTCTCTATACTGACTGCCAGGTGTAAAGGGCGGAGCTTATAACAATGATTGACAGGGGAGCTAAGATGGTGGGCTCTCTCTATACTGACTGCCAGGTGTAAAGGGCGGAGCTTATAACAATGATTGACAGGGAGCTAAGATGGAGGTGGCTCTCTCTATACTGACTGCCAGGTGTAAAGGGCGGAGCTTATAACAATGATTGACAGGGAGCTAAGATGGAGGCGGCTCTCTCTATACTGACTGCCAGGTGTAAAGGGCGGAGCTTATAACAATGATTGACAGGGAGCTAAGATGGAGGTGGCTCTCTCTATACTGACTGCCAGGTGTAAAGGGCGGAGCTTATAACAATGATTGACAGGGAGCTAAGATGGAGGTGGCTCTCTCTATACTGACTGCCAGGTGTAAAGGGCGGAGCTTATAACAATGATTGACAGGGAGCTAAGATGGAGGTGGCTCTCTCTATACTGACTGCCAGGTGTAAAGGGCGGAGCTTATAACAATGATTGACAGGGAGCTAAGATGGAGGGGGCTCTCTCTATACTGACTGCCAGGTGTAAAGGGCGGAGCTTATAACAATGATTGACAGGGAGCTAAGATGGAGGTGGCTCTCTCTATACTGACTGCCAGGTGTAAAGGGCGAGCTTATAACAATGATTGACAGGGAGCTAAGATGGAGGCGGCTCTCTCTATACTGACTGTCAGGTGTAAAGGGCGGAGCTTATAACAATGAGTGACAGGGAGCTAAGATGGAGGCGGCTCTCTCTATACTGACTGCCAGGTGTAAAGGGCGGAGCTTATAACAATGATTGACAGGGAGCTAAGATGGAGGTGGCTCTCTCTATGCTGACTGTCAGGTGTAAAGGGCGGAGCTTATAACAATGATTGACAGGGAGCTAAGATGGAGGTGGCTCTCTCTATACTGACTACCAGGTGTAAAGGGTGGAGCTTCTAACAATGATTGACAGGGAGCTAAGATGGAGGCGGCTCTCTCTATACTGACTGCCAGGTGTAAAAGGCGGAGCTTATAACAATGATTGACAGGGAGCTAAGATGGAGGTGGCTCTCTCTATACTGACTGCCAGGTGTAAAGGGCGGAGCTTATAACAATGATTGACAGAAAGCTAAGATGGGGGTGGCTCTCTCTTGCTGACTGCCAGGTGTAAAGGGCGGAGCTTATAACAATGATTGACAGGGAGCTAAGATGGAGGTGGCTCTCTCTATACTGACTGCCAGGTGTAAAGGGCGAAGCTTATAACAAGGATTGACAGGTACATTAGATGGAGATTGCTCTCTCTATACTGACTGCCAGGTGCAAAGGGCGGAGCTTATAGCAATGATTGACAGGTACATTAGATGGAGGTGGCTCTCTCTATACTGACTGCCAGGTGTAAAGGGCGGAGCTTATAACAATGATTGACAGGGAGCTAAGATGGAGGTGGCTCTCTCTATACTGACTGCCAGGTGTAAAGGGCGGAGCTTATATGAGAGAGCTAAGATGGAGGTGGCTCTCTATACTGACTGCCAGGTGTAAAGGGCGGAGCTTATAACAATGACTGACAGGGAGCTAAGATGGAGGTGGCTCTATACTGACTGCCAGGTGTAATGGGCGGAGCTTATAACAATGACTGACAGGGAGCTAAGATGGAGGTGGCTCTCTCTATACTGACTGCCAGGTGTAAAGGGCGGAGCTTATAACAATGATTGACAGGGAGCTAAGATGGAGGTGGCTCTCGCTATACTGACTGCCTAAACTAAACACAGCCGGTGAATTCCAATATTTAATCGTATTTATATTACTTTATTTGAGTTGAGTTTTATTACTGTGGAGCTCTGTGATACACTCACACTCCACATTACTGGGAGTTTTATTACTGTGGAGCTCTGTGATACCCTCTTACACACTGCACATTACTGTGAGTTTTGCTGTGGAGCTCTGTGATACCATCATACACCCTGCACATTACTGTGGTTTTATTGCTGTGGAGCTCTGTGATACACTCACACACTGCATATTACTGTGAGTTTATTGCTGTGGAGCTCTGTGATACACTCATACTGCACATTACTGGGAGTATTATTACTGTGGAGCTCTGTGATACACTCACACTGCACATTACTGTGAGTTTATTGCTGTGGAGCTCTGTGATACACTCACACTGCACATTACTGGGAGTATTATTACTGTGGAGCTCTGTGATACCCTCTTACACACTGCACATTACTGTGAGTTTTACTGTGGAGCTCTGTGATACCATCATACACCCTGCACATTACTGTGGTTTTATTGCTGTGGAGCTCTGTGATACACTCACACACTGCATATTACTGTGAGTTTATTGCTGTGGAGCTCTGTGATACACTCATACTGCACATTACTGGGAGTATTATTACTGTGGAGCTCTGTGATACACTCACACTGCACATTACTGTGAGTTTATTGCTGTGGAGCTCTGTGATACACTCACACTGCACATTACTGTGAGTTTTATTGCTGTGGGGCTCTGTGATCCACTCATACTGCACATTACTGGGAGTATTATTACTGTGGAGCTCTGTGATACACTCACACTGCACATTACTGGGAGTTTTATTACTGTGGAGCTCTGTGATACACTCATACTGCACATTACTGGGAGTATTATTGCTGTGGAGCTCTGTGATACACTCACACTGCACATTACTGGGAGTATTATTACTGTGGAGCTCTGTGATACACTCACACTGCACATTACTGGGAGTATTATTACTGTGGAGCTCTGTGATACACTCACACTGCACATTACTGTGAGTTTTATTGCTGTGGAGCTCTGTGATACACTCACACTGCACATTACTGGGAGTATTATTGCTGTGGAGCTCTGTGATACACTCATACTGCACATTACTGGGAGTATTATTACTGTGGAGCTCTGTGATACACTCATACTGCACATTACTGGGAGTATTATTACTGTGGAGCTCTGTGATACTCATACACACTGCACATTACTATGAGTGTATTGCTGTGGAGCTCTGTGATACACTCACACTGCACATTACTGTGAGTTTATTGCTGTGGAGCTCTGTGATACACTCACACTGCACATTACTGTGAGTTTTATTGCTGTGGGGCTCTGTGATCCACTCATACTGCACATTACTGGGAGTATTATTACTGTGGAGCTCTGTGATACACTCACACTGCACATTACTGTGAGTTTATTACTGTGGAGCTCTGTGATACACTCATACTGCACATTACTGGGAGTATTATTACTGTGGAGCTCTGTGATACACTCACACTGCACATTACTGTGAGTTTATTACTGTGGAGCTCTGTGATACTCACACTGCACATTACTGTGAGTTTATTACTGTGGAGCTCTGTGATACACTCATACTGCACATTACTGGGAGTATTATTACTGTGGAGCTCTGTGATACACTCACACTGCACATTACTGTGAGTTTATTACTGTGGAGCTCTGTGATACACTCATACTGCACATTACTGGGAGTATTATTACTGTGGAGCTCTGTGATACACTCACACTGCATGACCCATGATTAATTTTCCAATCTTTCTATATTTGTGAATCACGTGCCAGTATTATTACAGTGACAGAGTTTAAATGGTTTATTCATCAAATATCACAATTGTTCAGGTATCCATATAATAAGATTGCACGCAAGCGACAGAAAGTGACACTTTGATCCTGAGCGGATATTTACATTGTATTCATAGATCGGATTGATATACACAGCACAGTGTACGGCTCTCTGCACCCCTGCCACAGTCGGCGACACTAATCCAGACTGCTTTCAGAACGCAGTTTATTATTCATTTCTCTACATATTATTAGTAGTCACATAACCTCTGGGACGCAATACGCAGGAAATCCCCGTCAGCTTAGCTATGGGAGCCTCCTCAATGTTACTATGTGGTAGTATGTGGCCCCTGGGAGCCTTCTCCATGTTACTATGTGTTAGTATGTGGCCCCTGGGAGCCTTCTCCATGTTACTATGTGGTAGTATGTGGCCCCTGGGAGCCTCCTCAATGTTACTATGTGGTAGTATGTGGCCCCTGGGAGCCTTCTCCATGTTACTATGTGGTAGTATGTGGCCCCTGGGAGCCTCCTCCATGTTACTATGTGGTAGTATGTGGCCCCTGGGAGCCTCTCCATGTTACTATGTGGTAGTATGTGGCCCCTGGGAGCCTTCTCCATGTTACTATGTGGTAGTATGTGGCCCCTGGGAGCCTCCTCCATGTTACTATGTGGTAGTATGTGGCCCCTGGGAGCCTCCTCCATGTTACTATGTGGTAGTATGTGGCCCCTGGGAGCCTTCTCCATGTTACTATGTGGTAGTATGTGGCCCCTGGGAGCCTTCTCCATGTTACTATGTGGTAGTATGTGGCCCCTGGGAGCCTTCTCCATGTTACTATGTGGTAGTATGTGGCCCCTGGGAGCCTTCTCCATGTTACTATGTGTTAGTATGTGGCCCCTGGGAGCCTTCTCCATGTTACTATGTGTTAGTATGTGGCCCCTGGGAGCCTTCTCCATGTTACTATGTGGTAGTATGTGGACCCTGGGTACCACCCAATAGTATGGCTGCATTCTCTGAGTTTCACCATAATAGCAGTACTGAGAATCCTTATTATTTACTGGCATGATATCACATGTTAATAATCAGACCTGATTCAGGTTTAAGCAATAACCAGCGCCCCCTACAGGTGTGCCTGGCGATGGCTTTACAGGATGATTAAACCAATACATACAGGGACCCTGGCTGTGGAAACGAAATATATCCCACAATGTTGTGCGACTGGAGGATGTGTCACTATTTGTGGTTTGAGTTAAAGAGCACGGTACAGGGTGGCCCATATGTCCCTACACATCCATATATCTTATCTATCCAGTGTATCTGTGTGCTGGATGGGTAGGGACTTATGGGCCACTCTTTACAGTCATGGGAAAAAGAAAATACACCCTCTTTGAATTCTGTGGTTTTACATATCAGGACATAATAACAATCACCTGTCCCTTAGCAGGTCTTGAAATTAGGTAAATAGAACTTCAGATTCACAACAACACATGACATATTACATTGTGTCATGATTTATTTAACAAAAATAAAGCCGAGAAGCCATGTGTGAAAACCGAAGTACACCCTTACTGCTTCCATAGGAATTAAGGCTAACTAGCAGACAGGTGCTGCTAATCAAATGTCCTTGGTTAGTTGATCATCAGCCGTGTGACCACCTCTATAAAAGCCAATGTTGTAGCAGTTTGCTGGTCTGGAGCATTCAGGTGTGTTAACACAATGTCAAGGAGGATAGACATCAGCAATGATCTCAGAGAAGCAATTATTGCTGCCCATCAAACTGAGAGGCGTTATAAGGCTATGTTCAAATAATTTAAAGTCCATCATTTTACAGTGAGAAAGATTATTCAAAAGTGGAAAACGTTCATTGTTGCCAATCTTCCCAGGAGTGGACTTCCCAGCAAATTTATCCCAAGGTCAGACTGCGCAATGCTCAGAGAAATTGCAAGAAACCCAAGAGATACATCTCAGACTCCACAGGCCTCCGTTATCAATTTAAATGGTAAAGTTCACGACAGTAAAATTAGAAAAAGACTGAACAAGCATGGTGTGTTTAGACGGGTTGCCATGGCAGTATGGCTTAGGTTTGTAAAGTTACATCTGAACAAACCACAAGACTTCTGGAACAATGTCCTTTGGACAGACGAGACCAAAGTGGAGATGTTTGGCCAAAATCCACAGAGCCAGCACCATGTTGGATGAAAACCACACACAGCATATCAGTGCAAACACCTCAAACCAACTGTCAAGCACAGTGGTGGTGTGGTGATGATTTGGGCTTGTTTTGCAGCCACAGGACCTGGAACCTTGCCGTCATTGAGTCGATCACAAACTCCTCTGTATCCCAGAGTATTCTAGAGTCAAATGTGAGGCCATCCGTCCAACAGATAAAGATTGGCCAAAATTGGGTCATGCCACAGGACAGTGATCCCTCGCACACCAGCAAATCTACAACAGAATGGCTGAAAAATAAAATAACCAAGGTGTTGCAATGGCCAAGTCCAGACCTCGAGTAAATGCTGTGGTGGGACCTGAAGAGAGCTGTGTGTAAACAAATGGCAGCAAACCTCAATGAACTGAAGTCACTTTGTAAAGAAGAGTGAGTCAGAATTCCTCCAAAATGATGTGAGAGATTGATAATATCACACAGAAAATGATTACTACAAGTTATTGCTGCTAGCGGTGGTTCTACGAGGTATTGGGTTATAAGGTGTCACACACGGCTTCTCCATTTTTACTTTATTTTTGTTACATAAATCATGACACAGTGTAATATGTCATGTGTTTGTTTTTAATCTGAGGTTGTATTTAACTAATTTGAAGACCTGCTAAAGAACAGATGATTGTTATGTCCTGATATGTAATTCCATAGAATTCAAAGAGGGTGTACTTTCTTTTTCCCATGACTGTATATAAAGTGATTACTCTGGGGGATACAATGCCTGTACATCTCCACTCCTTCTGCAGGAATCATTTCACCGGGTTCCTAATTCTAGCCAGTGATGACATTCACTGTACATCCAGCAAGGCACACTCCCCTCTCAGAAATGGACATTATAGTGGGCGGAGGGTGGTAAGAGGTGTCTTTAAGTGGCAAGGAATATCTGTAGCTGGTGATAATGGGGTTGGGGTAGAGGGCTCCTGGTTACAGTCACTGGCCTATTATTAAGTTCCTTTTGGCAGATGTGAAGGCAGTTGGTACGTGGGGAGCTGGGAATACAGTAAAAATTATAGCTTAATCTCTTTCCAGTCAGTATCACGGTGTGCGAAGCCGTACGTGTTACCACGAGTCACCAAGCAGTAGTAATATGTGGCACACATGGGCAGACAACAGGAACTTTTACTGCATTTGTGACCACCAGGGGCAGAATTGGACACATGGCACGTGTCACAGTGGCAAAGGGGAGGCGCTGCAGGTGGCATTGTGCGAGAAGCATGCCAGGATGCTCCTCCAATTCTTTAGCCGAGAGCTGATGTGGCTCCTGACATCATGTGCGGTCGGTAGGCGAGAGGTGGAGAATGTTGAACTCTTGGTGTCATCATGTGAGGTTGAGGAGAACCCGGCATTAGGTGTCCCATGGAAGAAATTCCTCCAGAAAGGAAAAGGGACCCAAGGGAGTACAGGCCAGGCTCCTCGCAGGCCCCCTTCGGTAGTTCAAAAGCATTTTCCCCTTGCTTCTTCTTTTTGGACTTGTTGGTCACCTTACGATTCCGCGTCTGAATTCCATCTTTTTTCATTGTCAGAGGACGATTAACCTACAACAAAGAAAGAACCTAGCTTTACTGTCAACCCGTATCTTCTTACACCAACATAACTAGACATAGAAAATGTTACCGGATACACACAATACAGAATGGGGGGATTTAGCCAGGTAGAGGGGATTAGTCAGGTGGAGGGGGGGGGGATTAAGCCAAGTTGGGGGATTTAGCCAGGTAGAGGGGGCTAATCAGGTGGGGTGGATGGGTAAGCCAGGCAGAGGGGGTTAATCAGTTGGGGTGGATGAGTAAGCCTGGTAGAGGGGGTTAATCAGGTGCGGGGGGATTTAGCCCAGTTGGGGGATTTAGCCAGGTAGAGGGGGCTAATTAGGTGGGGTGGATTGAAAAGCCAGGTAGAGGGGGCTAATCAGGTGGCGTAGATGGGTAAGCCAGGTAGTGTGATGGAATTCCGGTGAAATGTAAATTTAGTAGGCCGAGATTTCCACGTGGCATATGTGTATGTTGTATCAGTTAGTTAGTTACATGTAGCTAAGATACTGTCATCAATGTACTGAGCATGTGCAGGAATGCAGGAACTAAAATAACACTCTCTTCTCCTTTGTTTCGGATGAGCCATGTGGTCTGCCCATATAAGGAAATCCAAATCCTGTCCACTGATTGGTTAAGGGTATGTGCGGGTGGAGCTATTAATGGGAGGAGTTATAGTTCTATAAAAAGCATGTACTCCATGTGTTCGGCCCTCAGACCTGTTTTGGAACGTTAGTTCATCTGAGACCCGATCGGTATGTTAATAAAGACCTCTTACTTCCTGAAAACCTGCATCCATCTCTCTGTGTCTGGCTTCTGCAAGTTTACTCGGTTACAGTAGAGGGGGTTAATCAGGTAGGGTGGATGGGTAAGCCAGGTAGAGGGGGTTAGCCAGGTCTTACATTGTGCAGCTTGTAGTACAGTCCGCAGGCGTTGCACACAGGGTCCCCGCTTGCGTTGCGTCTCCACAGGGTGGTGGTGGTTGTGTGGCAGTTACTGCACTGCGTCCCGGCCCTCTTACTGATGATCTGCAGGACAGAGACATTAAATATTCTAATACTGATATTTTTACAAAATGCAATAAATGACAGGGTTTGTCAATATCATGGTTAGAGGAGAAAAGGGGGAGGAAGGAGAGGTATTATTATTATTAATACTATTATAAAAATAGGAGACGTGTACGCTCTTAGTACCACGTGTCTAATGTACAGAGTGTTTAATTTAATCTCCCTCCCCAGAGTGTGCAACCCCTCCCTCCCCATCTCCCCAAAGTGTGCAACCCCTCCCCATCTCCCCAGAGTGTGCAGCCCCTCCCTCCCCATCTCCCCAAAGTGTGCAACCCCTCCCTCCCCATCTCCCCAGAGTGTGCAGCCCCTCCCTCCCCATCTCCCCAAAGTGTGCAACCCCTCCCTCCCCATCTCCCCAAAGTGTGCAACCCCTCCTTCCCCAGAGTGTGGAACCCTTCCCTCCCCATCTCCCCAAAGTGTGCAACCCCTCCCTCCCCAAAGAGTGCAACCCCTCCTTCCCCAGAGTGTGCAACCCCTGCCTCCCCATCTCCAAAGTGTGCAACCCCTCCCTCCCCAGAGTTTGCAACCCTTTCCTCAGAGTGTGCACCTCTCACTCACCAGAGTGTGCAACTCCTCACCTTTACTCATCAGTGTGCAACGCCTCCCCTTTACTCATCAGTGTGCAACACCTCCCCTTTACTCATCAGAGTGTGCAGCCCCCCTCTCCACCCCCAGAATGTACAGCCCTGCACCCTCGCTCCCAAATCATGTGACTCCTGTGGAAAGTGTGCACTTTCTGTATCGTTCATACCAGGCGCTTCTTGGGTCGGATTAGGGGACGGTTCTGTCCATTCATCTTGTGATATAGGCCACAGGCATTGCACAGATAGTGACCGCTTACATCGCGCCTCCAGAGGGGAGTCACAGTGGCCCCACAGTTCACACACTCACGGTCCTCTGCAGAGCAATAAGATATATTTTTAGTATCTCCACTTGATCCAGCCACACTTACCTTCACCACTATCCCAGGTACCTACCATCCCCATATTTATTATCCCCTCACCACTAATATCCCAGGTACGTACCACCCCATCATTATCACCCCCCACCATTAATATCCCAGGTCCCTACCATCCCAATCATTATTATCCACCCACCTTTAATATCTCAGGAACATACCTTTCCCTCATTATCATCCCCCCACTGTTAATATCACAGGTACATACAATACCCATCATTACCATCCCCCCACCGTTAATATTCCAGGAACATATTGTGACGGACCGCCTGGCACCCCGACCGGGTACCTCCGTCAGTCGCTGCTTCCTAGTACTTGCGAGCACCATAAGCACTGCACTGGAACACCATAACCACCGTAAACCCCACAAACCGCCGCAGCTTGGTTGAGGTCTCGCTGTCCTCCAACCACCCTGGACCCAAGACCAGGATCCAGCTTCCAGTGGGTAAACCTCTCCTAGTCCAGAGAGCGAAGCAGGCTGCTCTAACAAGAGCAATCGTTGTGAGCCAATGAAGTATAGTTATTATAGCAATCCTCAGAGTGAATATAGCTCTCCAATCCCCCAAACATAAGCCAAGACTTCATGAAGAGGTAAACTGTTCTGTTTAATGGCAGCCACAACTGGCCTTTTATGACAGTCCCCATGCAAGAGGCACTTCCCCTCTGGACCTGAGAGTAGACTATAGTAAAAACATACACACAATTGCATTGGCTTTCAGGTCCAGGACACTCCCATACAAAACAAGACAATCCCTCCCCTATGCCTGGGAGATAATTGAGTCAGGAACTGAACTAACTCAATTATCTCTAGGCACAAAAAACAAAACTTTTATCAACACTCCGAAAGTACCCCCAAAACCCATGGAAACCCCACAAAAGTTGCATACCCTGATAGCCCCTGATTCAGGGGTTCAGGATTTCCATGGAAGTCATAATTTTGACCGACCGTGCACATGGTCCTATGCCCAAAACAGTTCCAGGGAATCAGGGCTAACGGTCGGTCTCTATGTCTGGAGTACAAAAGTACATAACTCAAATGAACAGAGCCTTTTAAAGTGCATTGGGCAAGGTATTTTGCAAGGCCCATAGTCCTGAGGCAAGAGGCTGGCCAACAGGCACCTCCAAGAACCCGTGACGAGGTTCAGTTCATCACACATACCATAGACATCATAGTTATCCCACTATCACTGATAATATTCCAGGAACATATAATCCCAACCATTAACATTCTTCCACCATTAATATCCCTGGTACATATCATCGCCATCATTATCATCCACACCATCCCAGGAACATATCATCCCCCCATCCTTAATATCTCAGGATTATACAGCCCCATCATTATCATCCCCCCACCGTTAGTATCCCAGGAACATACTATCCCCATCATTATCATACCCCCACCGTTAATATCCCGGGAACATACCATCCCCAGCATTATCATCCCCCCCACTATTAATATCCCAGGAACATACCATCCCCATCATTATCATCGCTGACCACCATAAATATCCCAGGAACATACCATCCCCATCATTATCATCGCTGACCACCATTAATATCCCAGGAACATACCATCCCTATCATTATCATCGCTGACCACCATTAATGTTAAGACAATTAATATCCCAGTACCCCCAAAACCCATGGAAACCCCACAAAAGTTACATACCCTGATAGCCCCTGATTCAGGAGTTCAGGATTTCCATGGAAGTCATAATTTTGACCGACCGTGCACATGGTCCTATGCCCAAAACAGTTCCAGGGAATCAGGGCTAACGGTCGGTCTCTCTGTCTGGAGTACAAAAGTACATAACTCAAATGAACAGAGCCTTTTAAAGTGCATTGGGCAAGGTATTTTGCAAGGCCCATAGTCCTGAGGCAAGAGGCTGGCCAACAGGCACCTCCAAGAACCCGTGACGAGGTTCAGTTCATCACACATACCATACCCATCATAGTTATCCCACTATCACTGATAATATTCCAGGAACATACAATCCCCACCATTATCATTCTTCCACCATTAATATCCCTGGTACATATTATCCCCATCATTATCATCCACACCATCCCAGGAACATATCATCACCCCATCCTTAATATCTCAGGATTATACAGCCCCATCATTATCATCCCCCCACTGTTAGTATCCCAGGAACATACTATCCCCATCATTATCATACCCCCACCGTTAATATCCCGGGAACATACCATCCCCAGCATTATCATCCCCCCACTATTACTATCCCAGGAACATACCATCCCCATCATTATCATCCCCCACACCATTAATATCCCAGGAACATACCATCCCTATCATTATCATCCCCCCACCATTAATATCCCAGGAACATGCTATCCCCATCATTATCATCCCTCCCACCATTAATATTCCAGGAACATGCCATCCCCATCATTATCATCCCCCCAACCATTAAAGGACCACTCTAGGCACCCAGACCACTTCAGCTTAATGAAGTGGTCTGGGTGCCAGGTCCAGCTAGGGTTAACCCATTTTTTCATAAACATAGCAGTTTCAGAGAAACTGCTATGTTTATGAATGGGTTAAGCTTTCCCCCTAATCCTCTAGTGGCTGTCTCATTGACAGCCACTAGAGGCGCTTGCGTGCTTCTCACTGTGATTTTCACAGTGAGAGCACGCCAGCGTCCATAGGAAAGCATTATGAATGCTTTCCTATGTGACCGGCTGAATGCGCGTGCAGCTCTTGCCGCGCGTGCGCATTCAGCTGACGGGGAGGAGAATAGGAGGATCGGAGGAGGAGAGCTCTCCGCCCAGCGCTGGAAAAAGGTACGTTTTAACCCCTATCCCCCTTCCAGAGCCGGGCGGGAGGGGGACCCTGAGGGTGGGGGCACCCTCAGGGCACTAAAGTGCCAGGAAAACGAGTATGTTTTCCTGGCACTATAGTGGTCCTTTAATGTCCCAGGAACATGCCATCCCCATCATTATCATCCCCCCCCACCATTAATATTCCAGGAACATACTGTGGCGGAACCAGCCTCCCCACTGTCCACTGGAGGGGCCTGGTTGCTCGCCTGCTCCCTTTAGACTATGGCCCAGCATTTAAAACCTTTTATTTTCCCTGCAGAAAGCCGTATTCGTGCCTTTCTGCCGGGGTGTTCGGTAGATTCAATCTACCGAACAATCGACCAACTGGGAACTGGACTGTGCCATCAATTGACCGCCCAGAAGCTGCGGTTAACCGCAGTTTAATTGACGAACGCTGGGTGGCCTTTGTTCGTTTGCCGAACACGTGGCAGCGGCCATTTTAACTCCCGAATGGCCAGCGGTGTTCAGCGCCCAAACTATGGAACTGAAAATGGACACTTATTTGTGCAAACACCGTTGAGCCGTCCGCCTCCTTACCTCTGCATTCGGTAGCGGAACCGAATGACTGTTCATTCAGTAGTTTAACCGGACGAACAGCATCACCCCAGAGAGCCATGCCATGGAGCCTATTCGTGTAACGAAAGACTATGGGAAAGACTTTGGCTCCATGGCGATTGAACTGTATGTGTGTGATCTGAGCGCCATTCGGTAATAATGTGCGCTCAGATCTAAGCTATCTGGGGATATGTAGAATGTGTATGTTTTATATGATCAATGTAGCCGTATGTAATTTTATGTCTTTTACTAAAAATGTGTGTAATGGAGTTTTGCCTCTGTAATTGGAGATAATTGGATTACTTCCCAGTTATCTCCAGGCCAGAGAGGAGGGAGTGTGATGCATTGTGGGATTGTTGAAATGTGTAAGTCTGTGATTGGTCCTTGTACCCTGTGTGTCCCAGTCTTCAATTTGGTCCCCTAGTGGAGTGTCCACCAGGTGACAGACCTGCATAAAAGCCGGGCAGTTAGCCCCAATAAACCAGTTCTGCTTGACTTCAAAACTAAGTGTCGTCTCGTTATTGGGGGAATTAGATTGTTAGCTGATTGTATGCCATTCCTGTTCAGCTGCTTACAGCATTCATATGCTTGAGAGCATTCGAATGCTTCTCCTGTTGGGCTGTTTCCAGTGTTCGTGTGTTTCCTGTTCGGGAGTTGGAGAATTCGTGTAGTTTGCAGTAGCTGCCTGTGCATCTGAAAAGGGGAATATCGCCTAAACGGTTTTTAACCTCTTGTGTACCATCCCTATCATTATCATCCCCCCCACCATTAATATCTCAGGAACATACCATCCCTATCATTATCATCCCCCCACCATTAATATCTCAGGAACATACCATCCCTATAATTATCATCCCCCACCACCTGTATTATCCCAGGAACATAACATCCTCATCATTATCATCCCACTATTGTTAAAGGACCACTATAGTGTCAGGAAAACAAACTCGTTTTCCTGGCACTATAGGGTCTTTAGATCCCCCCCACCCTAAGGGTCCTACTCCCGTTGTACTCAAGGGGGTTGAAGGGGTTAAACTCTTACCTTTCTCCAGCGCTGGGCTCCCTCAGCGCTGGGGAACTCTCCTCCCTCTTCCGATGTCAGCTCAGAATGCGCATGCGCGGCAAGAGCCGCACGCACATTCAAACCGCCCATTGGAAAGCATTTCTTAATGCTTTCCTATGGACGTTCAGTGTCTTCTCACTGTGATTTTCACAGTGAGAATCGCGGAAGCGCCTCTAGCGGCTGTCAATGAGACAGTCACTAGAGGCTGGATTAACCCTAGTGTAAACAAAGCAGTTTCTGTGAAATTGCTATGTTTACAGCTGCAGGGTTAACCCTAGAAGGACCTGGCACCCAGACCACTTCATTGAGCTGAAGTGGTCTGGGTGCCTATAGTGGTCCTTTAATTTCCCAGGTACATACCACCACCATCATTACCTGTGCCTTGGAAATATCCACTGTTGAAATCCTGCATCCCTGTAATGTACCCCATCTGAGGTAGGTTTTGGCTACTGGGGCTTCTTGGCTCAAGGGTCAGAAGTTCAGGTGTCAAGGGGCTCATCCTCTCTGTCTTCAGTGTCTCCAGGAACTTTGGGCTTCCATCAGGCTCAGTTGGGGGAGCTGAGCTTAGCAGAAATGAGGCAGAGGTATACAATGGGGGTGAGGACAGGGTGCCCAAAGGAGAAACACTTGACTGATACAGCGGGAACGTCCCAGGGCTTCTGCCATATGCAGCAATACTGTGAGAGAGTCCGGAACCCGTCTCCGGCCAATGAGGGGGGAATGTCTGTGGCACTGAAGGAAAGGAAAGAAGTTGACAGTGAGGTGGAATGTAGGTGACAATGGGTAAAAGGGGGGGAATGTCAGTGACAGTGGGGAAAAGGACAGAAAGTCAGAGACACCGGGAAAAAGGACAGAAGGTGACAGAGTGGGGAATGTCAGTGACACTGGGGAAAAGGACAGAAGGTGACAGTGAGGGGGAAATGTCGGTGACACTGGGAAAAAGGACAGAAAGTGACAGTGAGGGGGAAATGTCGGTGACACTGGGAAAAAGGACAGAAAGTGACAGTGAGGGGGAAATGTCGGAGACACTGGGAAAAAGGACAGAAAGTGACAGTGAGGGGGAAATGTTGGAGACACTGGGGAAAAAGGACAGAAAGTGACAGTGAGGGGGGATGTCAGTAACTAGTGAACAAGAGGTGGCTGCGCTTTTCCTTTCCTCTCACCCCACCACTTGCCTGCTCGATCCTGTCCCATCTCACCTTATCAGATCTCTCTCCCCTTGTCTGGTGCCTTCCTTAACAAACATCTTCAACTGCTCTCTCTCTTCTGGTGTTGTCCCTGCTGACCTTAAACATGCCACTGTAGTACCTATCCTGAAAAACACATCTCTTGACACAAGCTCCCCCTCTAACTATCGTCCCATATCCCTGCTCCCTTTCTCATCAAAGCTTCTAGAAAGACTCATCTTTACCCGTGTGACACTGTCCATTCTTGGTTTTCGTCCTTTCTCTCCCAATGCTCATTCATTGTCTCCTTATCTAATGATACCTCCACCACTCGTCCTGTCTCGGTTGGAGTCCACCAAGGCTCTGTCTTTGGTCCCCTTCTATTTTTTCTTTATACCGCCTCTCTTGGCAAACTTATTGCCTCATTTGGATTCCACTACCACCTGTACATTTATGACACCTAGCTATATCTCTCCTCCCAGGACCTATCTCCTGCCGTCCTGCAACATGTCACTGCTTGCCTTTCCTCCAACTCTGACTGGACGTCCTCCCGCTTTCTGAAACTAAATCTCTCTAAGACTGAACTCCTTGTCTTTCCTCCTCCTAATACTGATCCTCCTCTTTCGCTCTCCTTTCGCTCTCCTTTCACGACAGTGGTATCCACATCAGTCCATCCTTGCAAGCACGCTGTCTTGGCATCATACTTGACACTGGCCTCACCTTTGAGCCTCACATCCAGTTCTTTGCCAAATCCTATAGATTCCATCTTAAAAATATAGACCCCACCCGCCCCTTTCTTATGCAAGATGGTACCAATGAGCTTGTCCATGCTCTAGTAATTACCTGCATGGATTTTTGTAACCCACTTCTAATTGGTCTTCCCAAAAACCGTATTGCCCCGCTACAGTCTGTAATGAATGCTGCCGCCAGACTGATTTTCCTCTCTAGTCGGTCCTCTCACCCCTCTATCAGTCCTTACATTGGCTTCCTGTATCCTATAGGAGTCAATTCTAAATGCTAACCCATACCTATAAAGCACTGAACAATTCTGGCCCCTCTTATCTCTCTTCACAGATCCATAGGTAAGCCCCTCCTCGTCCCCTCCACTCTGCCCGTGACCTTCTCCTGTCCGTTCGCACCCATACGACCAACTCACACTTGCAGGACTTCTCGCGGGCGGCTCCCTTCCAATGGAATAGCCTGCCTACCACCATCAGACTCTCCCCTAGTCTTCAATCCTTTAAAGGACCACTATAGTGCCAGGAAAACAAACTCGTTTTCCTGGCACTGTAGTGCCCTTAGGGTGCCCCCACCCTCAGGGTCCCACTCCCGTGGCGCTGAAGGGTTAGGAAGGGATTAATCCCTTACTTTTTTTCCAGCGCCGAGCTCCCTCGGCGATGGGACTCTCCTCCCTCTCCCTCTCAAGAGCTGCGCGCTCATTCAGCCAGTCTCTTAGGAAAGCATTCTCAATGCTTTCCTATGGACGCTGGCGTCTTCTCACGGTGAAAATCAATGAGACAGCCACTAGAGGCTGGATTAACCCATAGGTAAACATAGCAGTTTCTATGAAACTGCTATGTTTACAGCAAAAAGGGTTAAACCTAGCTGGACCTAACACCCAGACGACTTCATTAAGCTGAAGTGGTCTGGGTGCCTATAGTGGTCCTTTAAGAAGTGCCTTAAAACCCATCTCTTTAGGAAACCTTATGCCCTCCCAGAGTAACCTCTACCTTACATACCTGTCTCTTGCTCTCTCCTAAAGGGCAGCACTCTACTCTCTCCTCCAGCTCTGCTTCACTCCCACCTATTTTGATTGCTATTTCCTGTCCTAATGTGTTTTACACCCCACCTCCTATAGACTGTTAGCTCGTTTGAGCAGGGCCCTCTGCAACCTATCGTTCCTGTAAGTTTTCTTGTAATAGGGGGGAATGTCAGTGACACTGGGAAAAGGACCGAAGGTGACAGTGAGGGGGGAATGTCAGTGACACTGGGAAAAGGACCGAAGGTGACAGTGAGGGGGGAATGTCAGTGACACTGGGAAAAGGACCGAAGGTAACAGTGAGGGGGGAATTTATACGGCAGCTTACAAAGGGACAAAAGATCCTATTAATGTGAGAAATATAAGTACGGTAAGGGGTGACAGAGAGGGGAGTTGGAAGTGTCTTGTGCCAGCTGGTCCTCACCTCCCATTCCATAGAAGAAGTCTGATTCCTCCGCTGGAGATGCCAGAGCCGAATCAGTATAGTGTTGGAGGGACTCGTGCCCGGACAGTGTTGTGTACTCCATCTTGCTAAGGGAACCCGGGAACCTAGAACAGAGAGTACAGGGTATAACGGATAAACCAGGACAAAGCTGGGCTGACAGGCACCGTCCCAGCCCAGTACCAGATGATCACAGTGTACGTTTCACTGCAAAAATGGAAAAAGAACCACACTCAGTACACTGAAGACAGGGTGCTTAACTGAACCAAGGGCCAGCACAAGCCCAGAAGATAATAAATACCAGTATTAGAAAAATACCGACTCCAAGTTCTGATTCTGTGATCAAATCCTTAGAGAAAGGCTTAAAGAAGAACTTGAGTTACAAATTCCATAGTATCACTATTGCAGAATATTCTAAAAGCCAAAGATTACCGAGAGGCATGCGCATGCACGTACAATCTACTCTATTCAGGGAAGAGTTATTGTTCTAGGTTGGAAGCGATCCTAAATAAATGTTCAATGGGTTTGATGCTCCTAAATTTAGAATTTTTGCTAAAACTACGGCTGAATGTGCTCAATTGGAAACCGAATTTGTTAAAATTGTACAAGGCGACACCCTAATAGAAGTAAAGAGGAAGGTGGATGAACATATGGAAAGTCTTAAAAAAACAGATTCAAGAAAGATAGAGGAGTAAATTTCAAAGGGATCTCGATGACTATGAAAACGGGAGCGTTTACAGACGGCATGCGACTGAAAGTACACAAAGACACTTAACTCAGAATTAACCAACTAGAACTGCTATCCTGACTAATTACATTTCTCGACAGAGTGTTACACAGCTGACATTTCACATTATTGATTACTGTGGCAAGACTGTATTTCCATTCCTGTAATATTGTATCTTTAAGGCTATCTAAACTGTGCATGTCCCCTTTGCTGTATTTGATGCGAACGAGAGCATTCGTATGCTGGCGGCATGGAAGCCACCAGCATTCCTACAGTAGTTTCACGAACAGTGAATTTCAACTCTGTTCATGAAACAAACAAACTACCGAATGGGAGACCACACACAGAAGGTCGTGTGGCTCCTATTGCGGATCGTAACATTGTATCTTTCGGCAGTTAATAGATGTTCAGGGTGGTCGCCGTTCGGATACCGACCACGCGGCGGTCGGCCATCTTGTATCCTTTGTTAGCCCAGCGGTATTTTGTCGTTGAGTGCCTGGAACTGAAATCGGCTACTCGACGGCACGAATACCACTGGATTTCCAGGCTGTTCGGGAGCACCGGTCTTTCGGTATTTTATCGCTGCATGTGTTTTCGTGACTTTGGTGAAAAATGTGTGTTCAAGTGTACTTAGTGCGGCGTTCTGATAATTGTGCTGGGATCTGAGCGGTACTTTCACAAAGTATGCGCTCAGACCCCAGCTATCTGCCGAACGGTCATTCGGTATAATAACACGAATAATGTTAAACTTATATTTTTTTATGTAAAAAGCCAGGTCTGCTGCACGGAGGGATAATACACTTAACTGGGTATTCTAGTGGGAGTATCCCTCTTGTACAGCAGTTCATGGTCGGAGAAATGTCCTGGTTGTTAAGTTCCCCGTGTAGTCCCCTACTATACAACCCTGTGATGAGACCAATGTGCATTGGAGGAGCCTGGTTGCCCGCCTGCTGCCTTTAGATCATACCCCATGTTGAAACGCTTGCTTTCCCCGCAAAGACGGAAAGTTTTACCATTCGCGTTTGCCCTGTTCTGATGGTGATACCCCTTTAGATAGCTAGCGCCATGGGAGCCCATTCGTATACCGAAAGACCATGGGGAAAAGACTTTGGCTCCATGGCACGCTGAATCAGGTGCGTGTCTGGTCGCCTATCCATTAATAATGCGCGCTTAGACCTAAGCCATCTGGGCATGCTGCATGTCCGTATTTTAGCAATAAATTTTAACCTTGTACGTATTGTATTTACCGTCTTTTACCGCCATGCGCTTAATGGAGTTTGCTCTGTCCTGGAGATAATTGAAATACCCCACATTCCAGGATAGCGACTCTGTAAACTGGTTTTGGGTGAAAAAGAGGTATCGACTCTATTGCCAAAGGACTTCGACTCATCTGTAAACCATGACCAATTTGGATGATTCTGACATGTTTTGTATTTGGAGTATGCTGGTTCGCGTGAATGTGATGCATACTTTTCAAGTTATGAATAATGTGGAAAAACTGTATTTCTCTGGCTGTGATAATTACATTACCCATTGTGTAAGGTAATTGTATCACAGGCAGAGGGGAGGATTTTGTGTGGGAGTATCTGAGTGTATTGTACGTGTTTATTGGTTGTTTTACAAAACCCTGTGGGTGGTACTAATGTGTAAGAATGTGTACATATGAACAATAAACCCACAGCTCTGTCTGTTCCTGCTTGACCCTCAAAACAGAGCCTTGTCTCGTTCTTGGGGGGATTTATTGTATGCTGTTCCAGTTCGACTGCTAGGAGTGTAAACCTTTCGGGTGTTTACAGCATTCGTATGGTTCCGGTTCGGCTGTTTACAGCATTCATATGCTTCTCCGGTTCGGTGGATTGGTGTCTACAGTAGCTGTGTCTGTGTCTCTGGAAGGGGAAGATCTACTAAATGGCGGTTTAACCCTTTTATGCCTGGGGGTGCCGTTACAAACCCCTGTAAAGTCAGTAAGGAAACCCCTTGCATGGGGAACCACATAAATACTGTGACCTGTGATTAAAAGCTCAGTTGACTCCCAGCCTATGTGTCGTCTAGTTCTTGGGAAGGAAGGATTTATACAACGTTACCGGGATTATTGCATGCTGTACTTATTTTATCTGGATGATTTTATGCTGTTCCGGTCTACCAGCGGAGATACCGTGGATTATACTACCTCTCCGCTACACATGGTTATACAGTAACATAGTAACACGGTAACCAAGTAATATAGTAACATGGCAACATAATAATATAGTAACATAGTAACATTGTAACATGGTAATTTAGTAATATAGTAATATGGTAACATTGTCTATTAGTGTGACAGTGTAAGAGAGAGTGTCTATTAGTGTGACAGTGTAAGAGAGTGTCTATTACTGTGACAGTGTATGAGAGAGTGTCTGTTAGTGTGACAGTGTATGTCTGTTAGTGTCTGTTAGTGTGACAGTGTAAGAGAGTGTCTGTTAGTGTGACAGTGTAAGAGAGTGTCTGTTAGTGTGACCGTGTATGAGAGAGTGTCTGTTAGTGTGACAGTGTAAGAGAGTGTCTGTTAGTGTGACAGTGTAAGAGAGTGTCTATTAGTGTGACAGTGTAAGAAAGTGTCTATTACTGTGACAGTGTATGAGAGAGTGTCTGTTAGTGTGACAGTGTATGTCTGTTAGTGTCTGTTAGTGTGACAGTGTAAGAGAGTGTCTGTTAGTGTGACAGTGTAAGAGAGTGTCTGTTAGTGTGACCGTGTATGAGAGAGTGTCTGTTAGTGTGACAGTGTAAGAGAGTGTCTGTTAGTGTGACAGTGTAAGAGAGTGTCTATTAGTGTGACAGTGTAAGAAAGTGTCTATTACTGTGACAGTGTATGAGAGAGTGTCTGTTAGTGTGACAGTGTATGTCTGTTAGTGTCTGTTAGTGTGACAGTGTAAGAGAGTGTCTGTTAGTGTGACAGTGTATGAGAGAGTGTCTGTTAGTGTGACAGTGTATGAGAGAGTGTCTGTTAGTGTGACAGTGTAAGAGAGTGTCTATTAGTGTGACAGTGTATGAGAGAGTGTCTGTTAGTGTGACAGTGTATGAGAGAGTGTCTGTTAGTGTGACAGTGTATGAGAGAGTGTCTATTACTGTGACAGTGTAAGAGAGAGTGTCTATTACTGTGACAGTGTAAGAGAGAGTGTCTGTTAGTGTGACAGTGTATGAGAGAGTGTCTGTTACTGTGACAGTGTAAGAGAGTGTCTATTAGTGTGACAGTGTATGAGAGAGTGTCTGTTAGTGTGACAGTGTATGAGAGAGTGTCTATTAGTGTGACAGTGTATGAGAGAGTGTCTGTTAGTGTGACAGTGTATGAGAGAGTGTCTATTACTGTGACAGTGTAAGAGAGAGTGTCTGTTAGTGTGACAGTGTAAGAGAGAGTGTCTGTTAGTGTGACAGTGTATGAGAGAGTGTCTGTTAGTGTGACAGTGTAAGAGAGAGTGTCTGTTAGTGTGACAGTGTATGAGAGAGTGTCTGTTAGTGTGACAGTGTATGAGAGAGTGTCTATTACTGTGACAGTGTAAGAGAGTGTCTGTTAGTGTGACAGTGTATGAGAGAGTGTCTATTAGTGTGACAGTGTAAGAGAGTGTCTGTTAGTGTGACAGTGTAAGAGAGAGTGTCTGTTAGTGTGACAGTGTAAGAGAGTGTCTATTAGTGTGACAGTGTAAGAGAGTGTCTGTTAGTGTGACAGTGTAAGAGAGTGTCTATTAGTGTGACAGTGTAAGAGAGTGTCTGTTAGTGTGACAGTGTAAGAGAGAGTGTCTGTTAGTGTGCCGGTGTAAAAAGGAGTGTAATAATTAAGAGACTGGTACTCAGACAGATTAAGATGTTCTACACATTTCTTAGAACATGGCTGCCAAGCGTCATATGATCCCTTAGCGTGTGACTGAGCACAGATTACAGGCCTGTACCATATTCTCTAACATGCAACGTGTAACCACAAATGGCAAAGCTACCGGTTACTGTGAATGATCCGTTTAACTGGCACAGATACACACGTAATATTACACGTACATTCATTCCACATGTAGACAGCCACTGCTGCCATTTGCTTTACTGCCGCCATAGTCTCACTAATAAATTCAGCTTAGATCGGGAAACGTCCAGCGTGGGGAGATCTCAGTGTCTGGGATTCAACACACTATGAGCAGCAGGATACACGCCATTACCGCAGAGCTAACGGCTCATTCAAAGAGAAAATCCTACATCCCCCCCCCCCACAGAAAGCCCATTTGCAGTCAGGGGATATTGCTCCTGCTGCTCCACGTCATACAAGTGCATTTCACCAAATCTATCGACCTTCTTTGTAGAAACAACTAACTTTAAAATGTGATCCACAGGCGTAG